CAGTTCGTTGTAAACAAAAATAAACAAAATATATGACGCAGTATAAAAGTCGGCATATAAGCACATGTGATGAACACGACGCGGAATACCTACCTCTACCCGTCTCTGTCATACAAATACTCGCTACGGCCCCTGACAATAGCTGCTTATGGCCGATGCCGTTCCAGTTAGTATATAGTTCAATGCTCTCGTCATAACAACTAAGAGTGACAGTAATTAAATTGACAACCTGACATGACAACAAACATGAAAACATTAAATTGACATTATTTCGAAAACTAAACACTTTTGGAATAGACACCCTCACTCAAACTTGCCCTTATTTTTAACACTGAATAAGACAAAATTATTTAAAAAAGGGGGCTTCAATTTGAAAAAAAAGATTTTGGGCGGTTTTTCAACTTTATTTTGAAACTTATTTTTTTAGCGAGTGGCTGCATGTGTAATTTTTTACATAAAACTTAGAATGTATCGAAAACTGTTAACTGTACAATACATACAAATAGCTGCAGCGTGCTTACAATGGCCCATGGCTCCTTTGCAATTGCAAATCCTGTCCTTGACAGATCTATTCTGGTTTAGCTAAAATATTACAATAATTGACAAACATATTCATATTTTAAGAATAAATATCAAATAAAACTAGCATATAATACAATTGAACAAGCGTGACAAAGAAATTTAAATTTATTTACTCCTATGAAATGTTCCTTGATATTAATAATTCTGATTTATTTTCCTGACTGCGTGTACTTGTTATGATATTTTTATCTTTCCTGGGTCTCAGTCAAAGTGTGAAGTAAAAATTTTTTTTTGAACATCGTTTATTTTATTACGTTTCGGCGAGACAACAGCGCCATCATCAAATTTAAAATTTACACAAACTACAAACACCAATTCACAATTAAAACATGTATAAAAACTATAATTTAGTAAACATTCATCAGTTTTTGAAGGAAAAAAACTTTTTTTTGGGAGAGCAAAACACTGGAAAAACTTACCTCATGATTGGTAAAAATCGAAGTTCTTTTAGCTCTTTGCCTTCCGGAAACCTTAAATTTGCCTATAAATGTTGCTAAGGTTGTCGGTATCTGATCTGAAATTTACTGCTTTTGCATGTTTTTTTATTTGTATCATTTCTTGAATTCTTCTTTTATGATAATTTGTTTCCTTAACTAATATATCTGCTATTAATAATATTTATAAATATAGTTACAAAATTCCCTGAATTTTTACTTTATAAACATTCTCATGATTTGATTGATTGATGTACCTGGAAGGTTGCGGGGTTGGGAAACGAGCAAGCCTGCGGTAGGCTGCTAACGATCCTCACTGACCAGAACTCGTGGGAAAAGTTGGGTGAGATCCAATACAGACTTCACTACAACTTCTCGAGGGTTACGTTCAGGGCCCTCTCCTCTGGCAAGGAACATGAACAAGCCCAAGAGGCCACAATACAGGGGGCAACAAAGCCCTCAAAAACGGAGGGGAAGAAGGTACACGCCAGGACCGGGGGAAGCCGACAACATGTTGGCACCTCGGGGGCAGGTCAACATTCCAGCCTCCGCGGTTACTGTTATGGAGGGGCTCCTCGGGGGGGCTGGTTGGCACTACAGCCACCACCGCGGAGGCGCAGGGGCAGCAACCCAGAGCACCCATTCCCGCTGTGGAACAGAGGGCACTGGTCGCAGGTACCTCACTACTTCTAAGGAAAACCTGACTGGCTGGACGACCCGCTCGCGTGCGGGTAGTTCAAATAAATCTTCACCACAGCCGGGCGGGCTTCGGCCGCCCTCAGTGAGTGTATGCTAAAGACATCATCAGATGTCGCTCTAATTCAAGAACCATATGTTGAATTGGAGGTTGAGAATTGGAGGATTGTGGAACTTCAGAGGACAAATAGTCTACTGCCAATCTGAAGAAAACCCACGTACATGTATTCTCATAAGGAATACAGTTAGAGCTATACCGTTATGG